GAGGACTATAAATACTAGGTCTGCACCGACCGATTTACTGGCCTTGATTTCCTTAATTTTTGGAGATGTATAATCCACTGATAACCAATCTTTTCCATGGATCGTATCTACCTCTGCAAAGGTCTAAAAATCAATGCTCTAAACTTTGATGTATATTTGACAGCAGTACGTTTTTACAGCAGACATTTTTATAGTTTCACAGGCACTGATTAATGTTTTTCAGTAAGATAGAGGTTTTGTGATCTTATAAGAACCGATAGTGTTGGTTATTTAGAAGGGTCAGAGCAAACTATGCTTCCAAAGGAAGCTTAGGTCCTTTGGTGTTTGCAGTAGGATGCTGCATATCTGACATACATTTCTTGCGGTCTCTTCCTCCATCATCTGCTGTGGTAACAACATCACAGAAAATGACTTAAAGAAGCTCAACAAGCTAATAAAGAAGGCCTGTTCTAGGAACTCCTGTTGAACCTCGGCAGAGGATTTCAAAAAGAAAAATTCTCCCTAAAGTGATGAAGATTAGGGAAAACAGTGACCATCCATTTAATCAGATTGATAATGAAAACAGAGCTTCTTCAGTAAGATCTGGTGCAAGACAGACCTACAGCCTGCAGCTATCGACATCTATCACAAGTCGATGAGTTGTTGAATCCCCCCTCAGAAAAAAAAACAGCTATTTTTTTTTGTTTGGTATCGATAAAGTGTTTGTGAATTGAATTCAACTGAATTCCTCAAGTGTCAGATTTTGATAAATGCAGCCTGACATTCAGCCAACATCCGATCCAGATCTAGTTTGGGTTCAAACTGTAAAAAGAGATCGCTAGAGGAAGCTGGGCTATGAGCTGTGAAGCACTCTGGCTATTTGTTTTGCTACAGCGCTCATGTGTAATGGGGGGGCACATTGGTATTTGAGACATAAACGAGTGACAGAGATCAGAGTTACTCACGCTGCACTTACCTCTTGCTATCTCCAGTCTTCTAGGTTTTAGTGGGAGGTGCTGTTATATTGCACTTAAAGGGACTTCCCTACACCAAGAGAGCTGACAAATCATCAGCTCTAATTTCAAATAGATGTTGGAAGGGTTAATAAATATTTTTTGTAAAAGCTGCTATGGATCGACCTTTTTTTCAAATAAGTCATATTTCAGGTAAATATCTCAGTCATGCTGACAAGAAGGTAATTACACCTCATGCACTACTTGTTATTATTGCATAATGCCACCTGGCCAGTTGCGGTGCATTTCTTTGCAAGTTTGGGTTTGAGTTATTATCTGATGGCTCCTGGGAGCAAAAAAAAAAGAAAAAAGAGTTTGTAGAGAGGTGTATGGCAGTAAAAGTTTGTGCCCTAAGGAGGGAGAAACCTGTGTCAACACTGTTTATTAGCTGATGCTCTGCACACCTGTCAGATCACCCCATTCAGGATGGTGCATTACTAAGTTTACAGGCAAATCTTATGCATTAATAGTACAGTTTTACATGCGTTGAAAATTCTGGAGAAAAAGAAAACTGTTAAAACATATTGCAACCTCTCTTACTAACACAGGAACCAGAAAGGCCTACAGGAGGAATTAAAGATAAAAATATGTTGAAAGGTTGAGGGAAAATCCAAAAGCATTTCTGTCTGAAATTTATTTAAAGCAGGGTAAGAATAAAGCCTTCAATTAAAAAAAAAAAAACACTTTCAATGACCATGTCAAATTATCCGCCATGGTGGAGGTCAAACACTCCCCACAGTGCATCTGTAAACTGTTATAAAATAGAAAATCCCCCATAATTGTGGATGGTCAAGTGGTTTAAACACACACAGAGAGAAAAGAAGCGGTTTGCCCTTTGCAGCATATCTCTGAAGGAGACAAAGTTTAAAACAACACAACAAACGATGGGAATGGTTTTCACATATATTTAGACAAAGCTCACACCCCCTTGAAAAATAAAAGAAAAACCCTGTTCACTCAGTTTTCTCTCTTGGTTTTTGCCACACCGCGAAATTACAACGTGCAAATTTCTAAGCATATGGGGATGTTTTTGCACGCTGGAAATAAACACTATGGCAGGGATTTTTGGCAGCAGCATTTTTCTTTCTTTCTTTTTATTTATTTATTTTGTAGCAGCAGTTGGTTTGATCCCAAGCTATTGTGTCTGTCCCTCTATCTCTGTTACCCCCCCCAAACCACACCACTGATTACTGGTTTAGAGCAGCAGCGAGTGCTGTGTAGTCCTTTGGCTAACCTCTAGGGTACTTGGTGTGTATGTCAGAGATCTTTCGTACGTGTTTGTAGTGTGCCCCGTTCATGCATGTCTATGTTGTTACACTATAGGGAAAGCATGCCTCCATATGTTTATCTATGCCTGTAAAATTGTTGACAAGGATTCTGCAGATTTGTGTGCTTGGGAACTTTTTTCAAGATGATCTGGGAAGGTTTTCCTGTCAGTGTAATGATGTCACTTTCCCTTAAGCCAGAGCGGGAAGGTGGCAGGTGACCACTGGGGTCAAGATGACCACATATCCCATAACTAAGCTGATCTGGCCACCCAGTTTAACCCAGTGTTGGCTTTCTCGCTGTGTGTGCATATGGACGCTTCCCAAAAATCACAAAAATAGCACGATAGGTTGTTGTGTATAATCTGCTGTGGGATTCAGAGGTCAGGAATGTGCTGCGGCTCCAAAGGGTTACGGCTTTTGCAACAGGCGAGCATGAAGCAAATGTGGCTAGAATTGAAGCAATAAACATGGATGTGTTGAGGTTTCTGACAGATTTCATTCAAGGCTGAGTTTTGTTTGTGTGTTTGTTTTATATTTTGTTGTTCCTTGTTTTTTTTTTTTTTTGGTGTTTATGCAGCCAGAGCACAAACATACATTTCCACACCGCTCCTCCTTGCGGTGCACGCTCGTGTCAGGTGTGCTCTGTTTTCCCTCGTCAGGGCAGAAAGGAATCTGGGCCCGGATCCAAGCTGACTATTAGGAGCATATTGCCAGGATCGGGGACAAGAAGCAACACATCCACTCCTCCTTCTCCACTCTCACTGCTCATCTCCCTCGTACAGGAATTTTTTTTTGTGCTGCATCTTCACATCTACTGCTTAGTTTCTTTCACACGTTTTCTTCTTTTTATTTTAAATGCTTATTTTTAGCTCCCAAGTTTTTATGTTTTGCATATCTCCTAAAACTGCTTACATACCTGACAAGGTTCTATTAAGACCTTACTGCACAGAAGTCGCACAAATCTTCACTTTTTGGAGTTTTTGACTTTGTCATTTCTGGGTTTTCAGAGAATATCCTTCTATGCTTCTCAGTCCCCTGAGGCTGCTGTCTTTTTTTTGTTTTGTTGTTGTTTTGTTTGTATGAGCCATTTGGGCAGTTACCCAGGGCTTTATAAATAAAGGGGTGATGTGTGCTCCAGATAAATAAACATAACTTATCATTTAGTTTCACCCTGAACAAGTTGATTGATTGATACAGGCGCCACCAGTGGGGAGTTAAAATCCTGGTGTGTTAAGCTTGCAGCTAACAAAATAGTGAACAAATTCTGAACAGATTGAACAGCAGTTTTCAGCATTTGAGCAACTATCAAAAATTTAAGCAATCAGAGAACTAGTGACCAATTCCTTATACTGGTTTTAATCTCTTCTAATATCTTTTTAAGATCCATTAAACAAACAAAAGAACACTTTTTGTGTTTGAATATTCTGAGCAAATCCCATGTGGTTATTGTGGATATCGGTACCATTATCAAACACCATTGTGCACCAACAGTTTCCTGGATCGGTGGCGTCTTCAGATCTGGTGTAACACAGACCCCTACAGATGATCTGTGTCATCATCAGCATCTGCAATGAAATTAAGGAAATGCAGACATTTTGATTTACTGCAGTATTTTATTTCCCTTTGGGACAAAAATATGTGTTTTAAATCAGATGGAATTGTATTAGTGTTTAGCTTGATGAAGAATATTAGCACAGTTATGATGCCTATATTTCTTGATTCAATTTATTCCTCAAAGCATATAATTGAACTTTTTAAGGGGGTAAAACAGAGAAACTTTGTGAAAAATATTATTATCTGCTGTCATGGTACTTCCTGTTGCGGCAACCTGAAAGAACAACCAGATGCATCCAAAAGGAAATACGGTTTCCTTTTTTAAAAGCTTTCAACACATTTTTTTGTTTTCTCTTCTTAAACATCAGACTGATGCTTAACGTTGCTGACCTGGTCTTCCATCAGTAACAACTGCCAAACTTGTGAGCTAGATCTTCCTCCTAGAGAGTATCTGTTTGGCATTGACTGATCAGAAAATGATTGATTTTTGTTTTCTGCTCAGTCAAAGAACAGGGACAGGTAAAAATAAAACTTCCAGTCAGTCCCAGAGGGGGCATCCCACCATCTACGCTCTCTAAGGTTTGATGCTGTCCAGGAAAGAGTGTAAACTAAAAAGAGAGGCTACCCACAGAGGCAGACAATAAACTGAAAATGAGCTTTTTGCCTCATTTGAGTGAACTACTGGGTCCACTTGGATATTTGCAGATGTTAGCCATATATTTACACCTCTGTCTCCTTCTCCCAGCTTTGCCTGATCTTGTGTTAATACTTGGAATTTTGCCAGTTTAGTCCATGTTTATGCGATGAGATGAGTAAAAGACGGAATAATAGACCTGGATGAATAATGTGGGAGGTTTGGATAAGGAGTTTTGTGCTGATAAGAAGACCATGTTATTGCTTGTTTTCTTTTAGGTTTAGAGCAGGCATGCCCAAAATCATTCCTCGAGGGCCGTTGTCCTACAGGTTTTCAATGTTTCTCAGCTTCAGCATGACTGATTCTGATGTTTAAAGTTCAGCAAAAGCCTCTCAATAAGCTATCGATGGAAATCCGCTGTGTTGAAGCCGAGAAACCTCTAAAACCTGCAGGACAGTGGCCCTCGAGGACTGAATTTGAGATGAATAAGTCTGGTAAAATGCAGTTTTTCATGTTTTTGACTTTTTATGTGTGTTGTGTTTACCTTGACAGCATCTACTCATCCTACTCCTCCTCATCCTCCTTGTTCTCCTTTTCTCTGGACAACTTTGGGAATGGGCCAGTGCCTTGCCTGGGTGCATCTCTCTGCCCGGTGGTGTGGCTGGCGTCGTGCGAGAGTGAGAAGGGCAGCGGGTAGGTCATAGAGCCTCCCTACCCCTCTTGGTCACTCGTGTTGCCCTCAAGTGACTTTTGGCCTTTGACTGAGCCGCGACCCCGCCTTGTCCAGCCATGCCCTTCCGGCTGAGACTGAGGCGCACGCGGCGCTACAATGTCCTGAGCAAGAACTACTTTGTAACACGAATCCGGCTGCTGGACAACAATGTGATTGAATGCACCCTGTCAGTGGAGAGTACGGGACAGGAATGTTTGGAGGCGGTGGCCCAGAGGCTGGAGCTGCGGGAGGTCAGTACCTTACTTTCTAACTATGCGTGAAAACAAAGTAATAAGCCCAGTAATATAACGTAATAACCCTACTGGGATTTGTTTGAATTCCTTCATAATTTGGCTTTTGTTACAGTATTACTTTATTGCCTTTGCTTGTGCAATTGTCACACTTTGACACCCACTGTGTGTCTGCTTCCCCTTTTCCCCTGCTCCCTGTTGTTTGTCTCTAACGAAGCATGGCTACCTCTGTCCTCTTGTCAGAACAGAAGAAACCTCACCTACTCTAAATGAACCTCCCCTTTCCCTTCTCTTTGTGCTATTCTGTCTGTCTCCCTCTTTGCTCTTCTCAATTTTAAGCCTTCACAGTTTTTGTATTTTCTTTGTCTTTACTGCGCTACACAGCAGGTATTCATATCCTTTAAAGTGTTCAACCTTGTTTTAGTGTTCAAACTACAAATTTCAACAGAATTGACTGAATTTTTTGTACTAGACCAACAGAAAATATCACATAATTACATGAATTTCAACATTTTTGAAAGTAAAAGTCTCAAAAGTTTGGCATCCAATTTTATTTGTCATCTTAACTTTGATAAACCCTAATAAAATCCACTGTGGACAAGCGGATCTTAAGAAATAAGTAGTTTATCATTGTATACATTTTAGTGTAGATAATGATGTTGTTTGACAATTTATGCTTATAATGTCGCTATCGCAAAAAAAGTGTTTGGTTGCTGTTCCATTTTGGGTGCTACAAATTAAGCATATATATATACCTGGGCCACTGAAGGAAGAGTCTATGATTCTAACAGGAGTTGTTTAATTTTAGTGGCTGAAATGCTAACCTCTGAGAAAAAAGAATAAGGCAAAGTAGAGAAAAGAGTCAGAAAATCTTGCATAAATGGTCATGTGTATTATGGCAATATTCAACAACACTATTCTGATGCATTTCTCATATCCTGCTGCAGCTCGTCATTTACAAGTCTAAGGGAACAATTACATCATGAAGACCCGGGGACAAATGATACAGGCCAGGAAGGTTTAGGTGAATAAGTTAAATGTGACTGAGACCAACTCCCTGACCTGTTAAAAGCTCAGTAAAGCATGGTAGTGGTAGTATCATACTATAGGGAATCAATTCCTGTTAATGCTGTAAATATACTTGCCTGCAGCATGACTAAAACTAATGAATGTGTATCATAGTGAGTCCCGTAGTCATATCTGGTTAAAATGAAGTGGTGTTATACATATTAACATAGTGTTGTGATATTTACCAGGTGTCAGTGATGTTATAAATAAGGGGCTACAACACCACAACTTTAGCACTCATCTGCCTCCTGTTTGCTCACCATCTCAGGGTTTTGAGTGGTTTTGTTTAGCTTTATCTTTTATGGTCTTTATACATACGAGTGACTTTGTTATGTGAGCACTTTATGCAGCAACTGGAAAAGCTTTATTAAAGGAAGCTTAAGTAACACGCAGGAAACAGGTGTGCTCATCGCTGCTGACTAACACAAACCAGTTAATGTCAGCATTTCTCTGTAAATGACACACAGGACCGTTTCCCTATGGGTTGTGATAGAAGATTACAAGTTATTTCTTCCTTTTAGTATAAATTACATGAACAATTGCTTCTAATACATGTGAGTTACATATATAACTCAGGCTGAGAGGCAACAGTTGCCCAATACTATATCAATTGATTTGAAGATAAATATGAAAAGAATGAAATCCATGAAAATAAAGTTATTTACACATCTTTTTTGACAAGTTTTTCCAGCTTTTTATTGTCATTACACTCTCACAAGTACAGAAAAAATTAAATTAACTCTCTGCATTTAACACATCACCTTGAGGAGCAGTCAGCTGCCATTGTTCGGCACCCGGGGAGCAGTGTGGGGTTAAGGGTCTTTTGGTCAGGGATCCATAGAGGCAGTCTGTGGGGAATGGAACTCGTACTCAGAACCTCAGGATTCCAAGCTCTATGCCCTAACCATGAGACTGCCACTCCCCAGTAGCAGTGTGCCAGATGTGAACTTGTTTGTACAGATAAACTTTTTTTTCTGCCTGATCAATTATTGCTTGATAAGGTTGGTTTAAAATCTTATGAAAAATGTGGAATGTGTTAATACACTGTCTGACCTTTAGCCAAATAGGTGTGCTAAATCTGTAAATTCCAGGTTTAGCCTCCTTGAAGGCAAGTGGCAAAACTACACTGTCAGGAAATGAAACAGACTCCCTCTATGTTTTGAAATCTGATAGCGGGCCACTTTGGATCAGCAGATTAACAGGTCATGGAGTTACTTGTAAAGACAAGGCCACATTTATCCCTCTAGATTAAACCCCACATCAGAGAACCAACATTTTTTTCTGAACAAACGAGTGTCATTTCTGTTCCATTCAGCTACTCTAGCTGATTATATTTTGTGTTTAAGGGCACAGAGCGTCAATTTTGGATAAGGGCTTTATATTGACCTGAAAAATCCTTTAAAAATCCCTAATTAAGCTAATATTTGGTTTAAAACCTAGATAGTACTGCTCTAATTATAGAAATCAGAAGCTCATAAATAATATAAAAACAGTAATTTTCAATACAATATCGATACAGATATTGGCAAGATACGATATCAGCAGAAATCAAGAAAAAACTTTTATTTCTTATCTTGAAGTGTATAAGGTTAAAAAAAGGCTTGATCGGGTGATATTACTAAAACAGAGAACAATAGTGAACAATAAGTATGAAAACAACTGACCCATGTTTTATGAACCAATGGGTCCAATAAACTTTACATCCAGAAGTGGAGTGTTTCTATGGGAGATTTTAGATTCAAACCGATAAATTCTGATATCTGTTTCTTGACTATCAGACCATTTTTCCAATGTCAATCACTTCTGGAAATCCCTAATGTCAATTTTTCTCCAATGACAATCTTCTGTTTAAAGGCACATTATGTAACTATTGGCCACTAGGGACGCAAGATCTGTAACTCTGCAGGATTCAACTTTATTGTCATTACACTGTCACAAGTACAATTCTACGAATTTCACTGTCTGCATTTATCCCTTTGGGGAGCAGTGTGGGGTTAAGGGTCTTGCTCAGGGACCAACAGTGGCAGTCTGTGGGAGTGGGGCTCAGAACCTCTGAGAACCAAGCGCAATGCCCTAATCACTAGACCAACTTTAATGTTTTTCTTAAGAGATCTGACCCACATGCAGTAAACCACTCAGAGAACCAGGGTAAAAGTTTGAACAGGCTTATTGACAAGGACAGCGGGGGTAGGATTCAGGAAACTCAATGTGCTGGTGAACCGGAACTGGAAGAGGGAAGGGAAGTATCAGTGGTTAGTTCAGGATCCGTGGGAACTTTGAGCGATGACTGGAGAGACAGAGAAAATGGGACTCACGTTGGTTGAGAAGACCTCTTCTCCCAGAATCCAGTTAGTGTGGGTTTATCCAGAAATAGAGACTCGTTGTTTGGAGGGCGGACAGGTTTAGACTTGGTTGGATCCTGAGGAGCTATTGAGCGGACTGTCACTTGAGAATCCAGGAGACTTGAACGGAACTTGTGGAGGTTAAGCTCAGTGTGAGATTCAAACAATCCTTCCAGGGGAAGAAGGCCAAACTTCCAGCTTGCAGGGAGGCTTCCTGCCAAAAAGGCAAAGACAAAAAAACTAGGTTAGGCTCGGCAAAAAAACAAAGACTCAGTTAGACTCAACAAAACTCAGCTTGGCTAGAGTACCCAAAACTGGAAAATACTATGCCGTTGAGGTAGTGACAGTCCATGGCTCAAATAGTCCTCAGTAATGAGTCAACCAACCGCAGCTGTGTGGGAGGACCAAAGAGAACAGGGCACCACCTGGTGGTGGAAGGAGAGAACAACACAAAAACACAACCCACACAAACTGGATTCCTAAAACCACCAATCCCCTCTAGTGCCCCTAGTAGCATTAGTTGTAGCCTGCTAGCTTTCTCTGCGCCTATTTTGCTTCTACTAAACATTGAAAATAATAACAAAGATATATGACTGTATACTAACAGCAAAGTGTAAACTTAGAAGTTTAATAATGAAGTTGAGAAAAGAGAACCGGTTTTACATCTGACTTCTTCTTTCAGCCTGCGCCAACGAAGTATCGACTCTTGTTTTTCCTCGGGCACGATCCCTTTCACGTTTTCTCTTTTTAGTCTCCTCTGAAGGTTTAAATGTTTTTCTTGCCTCAGCCATGACCAGTAGTCGAACAGTTAGAAAAATAGTTGAGCAAAAGCCTTAGCTCCATGATGATAATCTAAGAGCCTACGGCTATAAGACAATATGTTTTTCCAGGTCACATGACCTGGCCAACGAAGGTGCATCTTCTCCCAGCTTACATAGGTGGTATTTCAAGAGGGGAGCCCCGCTCATAGCATTGATAGTGTCACACACTGTATATTGCCCTGAGGAATTATTTAAAACAACTCATATGCATCAACTATTTAGGTCATAAAGTCTGTGGATCACCTCTAACTTTTAATACTCAAGTTGAAAAAAAAGGTTTGTGCAGTTTGTTGAAACCCATTGGATGAGTCCAAAAACCTTATATGTACCATTATCTCATCCTACGCATTCTTAGATCGCTTATCTCTATGTTTATTCCTTAAAAGCTGACAGATAAGTATGGACCAGATGTGACCAGATTTTTCTTCTATTGAGAGACTGTTTATATGTAAACCCTGGATTCATGTAAACCAGTAGCGAAGCAGGGTGGCCAGGCAGGGGACAATGTGGACTGATTTGCGGTAGAAAACCAGGTCATGGTTGACCTACACTAATCACAGTGTACCAACAGGAAAGTGAACAGCATCTGTATTCTCTGAATAAATCACTCAGGAAAAGAACATATTTTTACGAAGAATGTGCCAATATAAGAATACACATATTCATACATCTATTCTGATAAAAGTAGTAATTTACGGTTATACATAATATATGCATTGAATAGTTGTTCTTTATCTCTGATAATGTAAAAGACGAAAACTTGCAAACACATAACTTTATCTCCTCCCTCATAATGCAGAAGAATATAGTTCTGAACAGAACATTAATTCTTCTTCATATTTAAGGTATTGTTTGGAGCAATTCCACACTGTATTCTGTTGTCAGTTTATGGTTTATAAACAAACGTTTTTCTCTTTGTTTTGTAGACCCATTACTTTGGACTGTGGTTCCAGGGAAAGACCCAGACACCGGCCCAACGCTGGGTAGAACTGGAGAAACCCCTCAAGAAACAGCTGGACAAGTTTGGCAATGAGCCGCAGCTGTTCTTTGGAGTCATGTTCTATGTTCCTAATGTTTCCCGTCTGGAACAAGAGGCCACCAGGTAAGGAGTCTGAAAGAATGTACTTGGTTTATATAAAAGGGCTGCAGATGGTTAAATAGCTCTGTGAGAGTTTAAACTAATCCATAAATTTATTTAGTTTATCAGTTTAGGTAAAAACATTTGCAACTATTGTAAATGCATCCAACAAATGTTAAAAAACAGCTGAGGGCCAATTTTTTTGTGCTATTATTTACAGAAGATTTTTTATATAATACATTTTTTTTCATTTTGTCACGTTACAACCAATTTGAAAAAAACATAAAAAACAATGTTAGCTAGTAGTATACCTTGACTTATATACCGTCTGTTTGTTGTGTGCCGTAAATTTAACTTTACTGTTGTAAGGCTAAACTGAAGGTTATGTCAGCCGCTTATCTTATTGATAATGATCCTACTCGGAAAAAAAAAGGAAAAAAAAGCTGTAATATGTGGACGCACTGTAAATACTCTATATATTCCAGACACCTTTTTTTTCCTTTTGCACATTCATCTTCTTTGACTTTTTGAGCTGATGCATTGAGTAAATTTCTCAAATGTGAGATCAATCAATCAATCAATCAATCAATCAATCAATCAATCAATCAATCAATCAATCAATCAATCAATCAATCAATATGGCGGTTATTAGCAGTTTTCAATCACATAAGAATGGCTTCATATTGTGCCTCCTACCTACTAGTAGGCTCAGTAGGTTATCCCTGAATTAACCCTAATCCTACCCCTAAAATGATTCCTTTTTTCCCCATGTTATTAATTAATATCTATTCATGTGTAATCTGAGTGTTATTTCAGTAGTTCTTCTTGTATTGTTAAAAAAACCCCAAAAAACTGCATCTTGCTCATACTAAACAAAGCGAAAACAAAAAAAACTTGTATCCTGTTAACTGAGTTGTTTTTAAAGATCACATGAAATCCGTACGGACTTAAACATGTGGAATTTATTCAAGGTAAAGGTTTGAACAACACTTATTTACAAAAATAAATTGTAAATTGTAAATAAAGAAGATCAAAACTAAAAGTAGGTAAATTGTAAATAAAACTTATGGTTTTAGAGGTGGCTGAAGTGGCTGTTATCGCCTATAAGCTGCATATTTTTAATCATAATAAACATACTAGAAGAGGCGCAATATGAAGCCATTCTACGGGATTGATAGCTTGATCACATCCTAAACGGGTGTTTTTTTTTTTGTGGTTCTGTTTAAACTACTGGTGATAATAGAAATACCTGTATTGTCCCACTTTGGGTGAAATTCTGGTGTGAAATAAGTAGACGGGAAAAAGCTAACAGAAACACACAAGACAACATGATATGAAAGTTAACAAACTTTTAAAATGTAATCTTTACAACAAAAGTGAAACAGACATCTCAGGAAATAAAAAGAAAAAAAACATGGCAGATATTAATTACCGTAGAAGTATTCAGGGAAAAATAAAGAAAAAGTTCAAAAGAAAAGAAAATCATCAGCCGGTTTACAGAAGCATGGAAAAACATTGTAAAAAAGCCTCATTGTAAAAAAAAAACTGTTCCCAAGCAAGTAAAAACATGCAAATAGTCATGAACATCAGTGCAGATAAAGGCATCGATTTATAAAACACCTACTGAGCAGATTAGAAACAATGCAAATAATGGTATTCAAGTGGGAAAAAATGGTTCTTGAATAGATTTGGACACCAAGCACAAGTAAAAGTTTTAGACAATATTTGCTGAACTATTTTGGAGAGAAAGTTGCAAGGTGGGCCCAAACTATTGGATTCTATCATTTTGTGCAGACAGCTAATTACTGATATGTTTTAATGTGGTTAAATCTGCTGAAGTGAAGATGCTAACTTTAGTTTATCTGAGTACATGTGATTTTTTTCTTGCTGCACAATCTTTACATATTTTTTTAATCTTTGGCTAGAGTTAATAACATATTTTTCACGTTTCTTCCTAAAAGAAACCCTTTGAAACAGAATTAAATAAATTTAATCTCCATAAAGTCAAATGCAAAGAATAATCTATTGATCATTGATAATTAATGCATAACGCTGAGGCAGTTATGCATCTGCAGTGCAGGCAGTGTGTTCAATTATATTTTTATTTAGCTATTCAAACAATTACTAAATAGATTGCATACACATTCTATATTGTCAGAGTCGGTCAGTGTGAAGTTCTTGTCATATAAGCAGCTTTATTCTTTTAAATGAGCCATATTTCTTCTAAGTACGGAGAGTTTAGAACAAAAATAGCTTCAAAAGTGTCAATCACTGCCATCATGAATAGTCTGGGAGCGTTAGCGGGCCTGTGAATGAACATGTTAGGTAGCTGTGAAGAGTGCATGTCGGGGTCAGCGTGGAGCGGACAGCCTGACATCTCAGACTGATTTACGCACAAAAACACACTACGTCTCGCACTCTGCTGCTCCGCCTTGCACTGAGCCGATGAATTTGTGGCCTCTGCCCTGCTGGATGTGGGATAGGTCGATGGCAGGTCGCAGCTTGATGCCTTGACACCAGATTGAATTTGAAGGTGTGTGCCTGTTTATTAACCATTTCTCGTGCTGAATGTCCTCAGTGTTTCTGGAAAGGCAGGATGGGACATGAATCGGACTGACAGCAATGAAAAAAAGGTGTTTTTGAGCAACTTGGGCTCAAGATAGTGAAGCAGAGCGCATGTTTACCCTCCTATTATACAGAAACAGGGAGTTAATCCAGTTAGAAGGTGATATTCCTGGAATCTTCTGCAGGATTTTATGATATGTGTCTATAGCGGTTGTGGAGGTTATGATGGGGGCTTGGGGACAATTAAGGTAACAATGGCTTCTCTTGGAACCCCTCCCTCTTTTTTGTTGCACTCTCTGAACAGTCTCACCTTTACTCCTTTTGTAGAGCAGAACTCCCAAAGTTGAGGGCGGATGGTTTTCAGTCAGTGTCCCTTCATCGTCCTTCTTGTTCCTCCCCCTCTTTTTCTTCTTGTGTTTGTCAGGAATGTTGTTGGCACAGCCGTTCAGCGTAGGAGGCGGGCCATACATTCCTATCCGCAGAAGTGCGGGGGGGATAAAGGGGGAGGGGGCGTCTGGTTAACAAAAAACACACTTCTCTCACACTGGCCTTAGAAGCCAGCTGCAGCCCTGTCAGTGGAGTCAGTATAATGGACCACATTGAAAGATCATACCTGCTCCCTGGGGGCTTGTCCTGTTACTCTACTCATCACATTTAAACTGTTAAACGTTCAATGATCCATCATGATTTTAGTAGGTTTTCTTTTTAAACCATCAGTCTTGTGCAATTAGCAGATTTTCTTTGAGATTTCCTGCAACTAAACATATTCTTTTATAAAAGTGCATATTTTGCTGGTAATTAAAATTTTAAAAGTATAGTTGGATCACATAAAGTAAAATAAAATCAGTTACTTTTATATATACATAGGGAAGGGGAAGGATAGCCTGTTGGCTTTAGCTAAATGAGAGACAGAAAAAGAAAGGAAGGCAAGCAAGGACAGAGAAAGTGAAGGTTAGAGGATAATCTCTTGTTTTTCCTGGAACCTTTTAGAAGGTATGCTTTATGATATGAAAGAAAACTACTGAACAAAAACTGAAAATAATTCTCTAACATTTAACTGAACCACAAAAAAAGCCCCTGGAACCATTCTGCCAGTAAAAAGCAGCATATTGGCTGTCTTTGTGTAAATTTTGTGCGAGTGATGTGACTTGTTTTGATGTGGTCAGGTCTTTGAAGTTCAGGATTTGACTGATATGTAACCTGAAACTGAAGCTCCCTCTCTTCCTCTCGCCGCACAGCTGCAAAAATGAACCACAGGACTGTTTAAATCTCTGTCTGCTTTTTTTTCAAAAATATCAGCTTGAATTATGAGCTGCACACACACAGTTTTACTGTAACACAATATTATCACTTCCAGTTATTCACAAACGCATAATTTCTTTGTTTCTATTTCTTAGAAGAAGAAAACTGTGTTTCTGTCAGGATTTCCCAAATATAAACTTTAGGTTCCTGGTAGTTCTTGGTTAGATGTCATCCATTTTATCCCAATTTTACTAGTGATAAGTATTTATATGGTATGTGCTTTCTAGAAAAGGAAGCAGTAAATTGCAACAACAACCTAATCTAAAATAATATTGAATTTACGAAATAAGATAGTGTTTTGCGATGGAGGGGCTATATTGACTTCTAATTGATCATATTTTTTTGTATTCATTTTGATAAATAAAATAAAAACCGGATTCACCAATACTTCAACAGTATTTCATGTTTTTTTCACTGTCTGGTAACGATAGCCAAAGTTACACTTATACGGTTTGGTAACAATGTCATATTTGAAAACAACATAGTACACGTCACAAAATGAAGGTGTTTGTGTCTTTAAGAATAATTAGTATTATAAAAAAAAAACATTGTTGATTATTTTTGATAATCGAGTTCATCTGTAGAGTAATTCACAGTTTGGTTTAGATGTTATGCGTTCTGTCAGTAAACAGATCATCTTTCAAGTTGCGAAAATGTCGAGATGTGGATGTTTAGGGGTTGAAATTAAGACTAAAAAAACGCATTAAGGAACGTGCTCTTAAAAGGTGTTCAGAGAAAGAAGCTGGAAGCTGGAAAGAAGCTGAAACCAACCATTTAGTTGTGAATTCTTAAGCCGGACATACATTGTGTGATTTTTTTCAATCGTTGCACGTACCTACAGGTCACACTGTACAATGAAACCGCAGGGTTTCTTTGTACGGTCTGAGTTCACCACTCACGATGTATGTGCAGCACAACGCTCTGATGCAATCTACCTGCTCACACTATACGTCCAAAAACCACGTCGGACTCAGCTCCGCAGTGAGATGGCGCTACTCTGACTCGTCTATCCGGAAGCTAAACCAGTAGAAGAGAAATATGAAGCTCGCTAGAGAGAAAAGCGCTGCCTTGGCAATTTGTGCAATTTTATGTGCTGAAAGCCCTAAAAAGAAATGGCGGAGGCGTATTTGGACAAAGACATGGCTGAGCAAAAGTGG